CTGAAAACGATAGTTGTGGAGCATCTACAATATACTTGCAAAGAAATGAACAGTGCCATAACTACAGAAAGCATGTGCCCATAGAAATTGACTCTACGTTTGAAAAGGAAAGGAGACAGATATAGGAAGAATTTACTTGTAATTGGTGTAGTTCACAAGGGCTTCAGCTTTCTTTTTGTTTTGTTTTGTTTTGACACACACTAGTTTTGGTAACCTTTGGTTGGCAACACCCTTTGTCTTCAGAATGCATCTTTGCTCTTACTTTCATTTCATATTTAGCATTGATATTTATCATTTCATGATTTAATACCTGTATTAGAGTTGTGGATTACATGTAATTTTTACAATGTTCTGACCACAAGCCATAGGCCTATGCATAGTTTGCCAACTGCCAGTGGGCAAAAACTACAAAGGTGATGTGACAAGGGAATTGAACCATACGAGTAATGTTATTTTGCCATTTTTAAAAAGACATTCAGATTTGCATAACATTCAGGACTGTGTGGGCCAGCCATAGAATGCCATTCCCTTATTTTGAAAATACCCCTCATGTTTCTTATGGGCTGTCATTTCCACTGCCCTGGAAGTTGAATACCCTTGCAGTGAAACAACACATGATGGAAAGCAGAGCCACGTACATCGAACCCTAAAGAATCATCCCTTTGTAGGACGTCATCCTGGACGTCATCCTTTTAGGGCCCAAAATAAGAATTTATGGAACAATCTTCTGGCCAGGGATCATGGCCCCTTTCAAGTGCGACTGCCCAAGCAGCTAGACGCTCATCATGGATTGCATCTTGTAAATTGGAGAGGGAAATAAAAGGGAAACGACCTACAGGTCTTTATCAGTACTGAAGCAGAACTAGTCTTTTAAGAAATATGAGTACAATCTAAACTCTTTCGCTGAACAATCAGACAGATGGTACACAATTTGGTCCTCTTATCCCAATGGGGCGATTTACTTTTTGGAGTAAGTTACTAACATATTTTGTGAGTTTACAGGAAACCAAGTCATCAAATGGCTTTCAAGTTTGGAAATTCCCTGCTGTGTTAGGTGTATGGATTTAGCAGGCAATGCTGATGACCTCTTGGAAATGAAGAGAACAAGATCAGACAAGAAAAGAAAAATGGGTGTTGGGAGATAAAGGATTTGGTTTGAAGTAAGGGGGGATGTTGATATTTGGTAAATTGTAGCTGAATCTTTGAGACACAAGTATGAAGAGGCACCCTGACATTAAAGGAGAGCAGACCATGTAATTGGAAGTAGGCATAACAGGTACAGAAAAAAGGGGATCAAGGTTGAAGAAATCACATATGAAAAAAATCCCCCTCAGACAAAAATACCAGTCAAAAAAAAAAGGCAATAGCACCCCAACAACGGGATCGGAAATCCAAATGTGGAAATTCAAAACAATGGTTAGGAGAGTTGAAGGTTGGAAGAACTTCCTTCTTTCATTCATCACTGCCTGGCTTCAGAGATTTCTGCCTTGGACGTTGTGTGCATTAAAGCTTTTACTGTTGATGGACTTCTGCATTTGTAGAGATGTCAATCTCTGACGGCACTGAGTATGGAGCACTTTAAGTGATTACAGTTGGCAATGAAGGCTGCAACTCCACATCAGAAACTTCCTCCAGTAGTTGGCAGGCAAGTACCGGTACATGTACGTTAACGTGTCCCACAGTCCTCCAGATATCTGACTTGCTCCTGCTCAGCTTAGGTTATTGGACTTATTCTGCACTATCCTCAATCTGGCTAATGACCAAATGGTTGAGGCTCGTTTTACCAGTGATGATGTACAGATGCTTCGTGTAACTGCAATACTCATTTGCCTATCACCTAACATAACAAAATAGTTCTCTCGGAATACCAACGACCAATATAGGCTGTAACAACATTTACTATATTTTTTTTTGAGGGGGAGGGAGACAAGAATGGATCGGTGTGCAATGACATTTGTCTGTGTTACTCTGCGGCAGATTCTCTTTCCAATTATCTCCCCACTTCCGTAAGGCAAACAGCAAATTGCTGCAAAATGGAGGGGAATCCTAGCCTATTTGGGGCAGTAAATGCCTTCTCGCTTTTCACAGGCGCCCGTACTTGAGCACAAAGGGTCAACCTGGGATTTCTGGACTACCATTTGTTAATGCGCGTGGAGCCAGTAATGACATCAAGCTATTCCTACTAGTAATGTCTCTGGACCTTTCTTTTTTACTTTTCAGAAGGTAGACGTGGTTCTTGTAATAGAACACTCACAGGTCAATTCCTACTGAGGGTGATTTGGTAAAGCGAACCAAAAATGGCTTGGACAGTGTAAATACGACTTCACACAGGTAGTGTAATGCTGTGTGCACCATGATGTCCATACATGTATCCCAATCTTTTTAACATGGCATTTATTCCTCGTAATGCCCTCCCAACACCCCAGACTAAGACACCAACAAACAAAACATAACCCCCTTCCAAAAAAAACATCAAGCTTTGTAGAAAACTGCAGCAAGACTTCTGTCCTTTGTACACTTACCAGTATGAAAAATAAAGATGTTGCAAAGCCAGTTGGGGTTTAAAATTATTGTTACTACTAGTAGAAGGAAATGCAGGTGCTGTACATGTATCTTATTTCCAGCCTGCATTGACAGCCAGCTGGTAATGTAACTCAACAGTCTTCTCGCAGTGAGAAACGCACTTAGACTTGCAAACAACTTGATTCCCAGACTTTGCATGTACATGTACTTGTAGTCGCTTCGATCAATCTCCCATTACATCAGATGGCAACTCTGCCACAATGCAGTAACTGCCTATCTAAAAAAAAAAAATTTGTACAAGTTCATTACGGATATCTAGACATCAGTCTACATAACACAGCAAAAATGCTTGGACTTCATGCAAGCCTCTGTCCAGCACAGATGGCGCAGCTGATTGGACCATAAAAAAAGTCTTGAGATGGAATGTTTTCTTAAAGCGGAAATCAAAATAATATCTGAAAAAAAAAGGGTGTGCATATGCTTCCCTGACTCAGTCATAAAGCCTTAACACAGGTTTGAGCACACCCCCTCATGCACACTATGTCCATTGGATAGTGCATTTCTTTATGGCAATTCTGTTAAGCTGATTTAGCTGAGTTTTAATTACCAATCTTTCACTGAACTTAATTGCATTCTAAACACATCCTAGAAGAATATGAATTTTGAAAAGACAATGGAATGTACATGTACATGTAAGTCGCCTCTTTCAAAACTGAATTAGCTTTACTTGTCTGTAGAGGGTGTGAAAATAAGTTAATCCTGTGAAGCAAAGTTTGACACAAAGAAATATGAGGAGCACAGCACAAGTCAGAGAGAAGGTAAAAACAATACATGTAAGTGGGGTACAAGGTTGGCGGTGTCTTTGAAACCAAGTTACCTGCCCCAAAGAACATTTAGCTCGATATGATGCGAGATTGAGATCAGACAACACCCCATGGTGAGACAAGCACTATTATCCAAGCAAAGCCCGATCAGACTAGCGCCTGTAAATCAGACCTTCCCCCCCCTCCTTCCCACCTTCTCACCATTGCTCGGGGGTCCAACGTATCTATTGGATCTAATTGTTGCGCCCGAATCTTCCCTTCCTGCCTCCTGAAATTAATCAAAATTGACAGCCTTCGCGCTTGGCGGGGACAAACAGGCTTTTCTCTTTGCACAGGGATGCCTCGGCCAGTCGACAGAGCGACTTCGTGACATTTGAGTTCTGCATGTTTTGTCCCCTTTTTTGGCCGTCTATTCTCTTAAACTTGTTATCTTCAAGATGCAAGGAGACGTTAAAGGTGGCGTGTTGCTGTGAGAGAGCAAATTTACATACCGCATGCATGCATTACATGCAAACGTGAGCGTGATGTGTCAAAACATGTTCAACACGTCACGGCAACTTGTAAATGCATGGAATATTTTACCATCTAGACTCAAAGGCTGCTTCAAAATTTCATTAAGCATGCTTCACTAGCGAAGCTTTGAAAGATGGCACTGAGCACAACTTGCCAACAATCTATGTAAGTTGAGGGTGTGATATCTAAGAGAAAAGAAGAATGTTGTTGCCTGAAACTCTGCTGCTCTCCCAGTGTGAGAGTTCAATCACTTTAACATAGATTCAATTTATTTGTATACATGTATCTTGGCAATTTTGTCATAAAAGTATACTGTGTGAACCCTAACCCGCTACGGTGTATGTAACATCATACTGATATCAGAGGATTGAAGACTGTTAGGGTTTTAAGTTCATTCAGCAGCAAAGGTACCGGTAGTGCCATTAGACTCAACAATGGAATGGAATGTATAAGTTCAGCATGCACTTGGGTGTGAGTTCAACTCCCATCTAAGTGTAATAAATGTATGGGTTGTAAAGCACACTACCAAGACTTCTTGATTTTACTTATATTTCGATTAAAACCATAATCAAATAATAAAAAATACAAAGAAATTCAAGTTTAGTATATGGATGACTCTCATTTTGCTGACATCTTGTACAGGCAGCCAAAGTTTGCAGAAATATCAACTTTTGGTTGTTTGTTTATTTAACCTCAAACTCATTTAAAATGGACATCTGTCCCATTAATTTAAAGTAAGGTTGTATTTTCATTCAGTATTTAGTGGCATGTGTATTATTACAATGTACCGGCATCTGATGTTTTGATAGCTGCGTGGGAGTTTTAATGTGGTGAATTATTAGTTTACTTTCGTACTGATAGCCATCCATGGTTTTAGCAGCCACTTGAAGGAAAACACAACTGTGACGTTAACAGAACAGACCCTACATGTATATGTTAAGAAGTCCTCCTTCAGCAAACAACTGCTGATGGAACTTTGTGCAAAATCAGCATGAGATTCAGGAAGCAAAGTAGATGCAAAGATCTTCCAACATCTTCCAACTGCGACACTTTGCAGGGCTAAGTCTCGGTGAGTCAAGAATCTCGTTTAGGATGTGTAACTGACAACGCTACCTTACAAAATGCATGCCTAGGACTTACCTTGGACACTCAAGTCTTGTGGGCTCGTCTGGCGAGGGACAGGGCAGCCTCTCCACCAGCTTGGGGCAGAGCGTCCCTCCTCCCAGGGGTGCCACCGTGACACTGCGCTTGCGCTCCTTGTACACCGTCCCCGACTGCTGATCGGGCCGGGCCTTGCAGGGATTAGGACAGGTGCTCCAAGTGGACCAGCTGGTGGTGGCACAGTCCCGGGGAACCAGGCAGGATTGGAACTTGGAGGGCACCAGGGTGTTCTCATACTGGTAGCAAAGCCTAGGGGGAACCAGTTAAAACAAATGAGTCTAACTCATACTACGGGCACTGAGTGTGAGTGTGAAGAAAAGACGGTACGTTTTCATGCAGCATTAATTGGTGCCTCTTTGAGGGTGATACAGGGGGTGTCGATGTTCAATTGCCAAAGGAACAGAGAATAAGCAACCAATTTCACAGGAATCTTTCTTTGTGCAGGTGCATGGAACCATAATATAATGGTTGTCCAACTAGTCTTTCTATTCCCTGCAGGTTTACAGAGATGTACTGTACTTGTACAGACTTGATAAAAGACAAATAAGACTCTTGTTTCAGAGATTTCAAACAGTAACATGTCTAAAACTTGTCTTCTCTTTCATAAAGTGCAGCTCTGTTTCAGAACTGGTGAAGTCCGAATGTGTCTACTTTTGAGTAGTGTTTCATAAAAACAGTGCAGAAACTTGGAAGTCCTGTGACACCTTGCTCACAAATTTATTTCTTTTCATTCGTTAGGGGAATTGTATGAAACCACGGGTGGAACTGGAGAACATTTCAATAATTTTACACAGGTATATTATCTAACCTTATGAGAAAGGATTCATTTCGTATCAATGGGTCTTGACATTTATGGTCAATGAATCCTCCTCTAAGCCCAAACAGCTTAAACTACATGTATAAAATGACAAACAGATCTTGTTGGTTGTGTCATGTGAGAATCTGTATACTGACGGTGGTTAGTTTAATGTTTCTGAGATATTACTAAGAAAGCATATGAATTTCATTGGGCATTTATTAGCACAGTACAGGTATTACGGGTAAATTTCAACTCCTCTGAGTTTTTGCACTGAAAGAGAAAAGACTATCTTTCACTTTAAAAGCTGAACCACAGTACTCCAAGTTAAAGGGAACTGATCAGCTGAAAGAAAATTTATTACAATTATTTTGTACACTCATTATTTTTTTTTCTGTTTTTACTGTTTGTCCAAACACTTTCTAGGACAGCACAGACAAGTACACAGATGTAAATGATCTAAACACAATGCAGACATGTACAGCATTATGACAAAATTTGCACAGTGAATTCTGAAAGCTCATGAAATTGAACCTACAACTGTTACACATGCATGTACTGGTACATGTACATGTACAATGTAGGTAGCATAGGTGTCTCTAGGACTAACTGAAGTAAGCATGTGTGTAGTGTGGGAGGGAATATAGATCTTTCTGGTGACCATGGTCAGATGCCATTAATGAAGTGGTACCACTCAAAGTGGTGCTCAGGTTGTACATGTGCTCTCAGTGCTATTTCAACTGATTGGGTTGTCATAAAGGCATGTGCTGCTTAAATTCAAGGACGCACTCTGCGACTTGCACATGAGCAAGTTAATACCATGTGCAGCACTGTCTTCCTGTGCAGTTAGGTTACCTCAGATTGTGACATGAATTTCCACCCAGGTGAGCTGGTGACTTACATGTACATCTCAGTGTGTGCCGAGTAAATACAATGTTGGTAAAGAATTGTCCTATGAAATTTCAACCTGCCGTAAGCTTTCTGCATTTCTCATGTGTTGCTGAGGGAATCATTAGTTACTTGGCAGGTCTTAAATGTTCGTTTCAGACTAGCTCAAGAGAACGGATACTGATAATGCCCCAGCCAAATTATCAAATCTCCTGCCTGATTGTCAGCATCCATTCTCCTGATCCAGTCTTAACCAAAACTGACCAAGCACCTAGTCTTCCCATTCATACATATTTTCTGAGGCAAGAAAACAAAGCATACCTATAGCTATGTTACTGTATGTTCGTCTCACGAGTAGTTACCAACAGCCTCCTAATGCCACATGACAGATGTCAACCAATAGAAATGGCTAAACTATGTGAGATATTTATGAATGAAGGTTAAGAGGAGTTAGTGGTTAGCTGACAGTGTGTTGATTGCTTTGCCTATATGTACACTTACTCTTACATGCATCACTGTGTTTGACTTGACACTCACATGACTTCTCATAATTACTGGTATTCCGGCCTGGCCCAAGTTACTGCAAACCAAGTCAGTAACTTGGGCAAATGTCCCATGATATGACACCAAGGGTAAGTGTGAAGGAAGTAATCAAACAAATGACACTAAACTGCTTTGACAAACTATAATACGGAATAAAGCCTGCTTACCCATCTTCCACCTTTTCCCCATTATTCTTGAGACATGTTACACTCCTCAATTGTAGCCCGATCCCTGGGAGTCCACTGTTCCATGAACCCCGTGCCGGGGGCTGGCACTTCATCCATGTTCCCACCCTGGTGAAGTAGGTGAATTCGTTGCTCTCACATGGTGGATTGTTCTTACATTCTCGGGTCTCGCTGAGGTTTGGACAGTCCCGGCCGCCATGGATGGGCGGCACCACCACCTCCCGGGTGCGGGTCTGTGTGCCATTGCCGCAGGTGCTGGTACACTCGCTCCACCTGCTGAATGCTCCGACAATGCAGGCCTGTGGGCAAGGGGTGAAGCACTCCATTTCTGTCGGAGGCCTGGCCTCAAACTGCTCGCAGATGTATTGCGGCACCACCTCCCGTGTGTCCTCCTTCAGGAAGCCTGTGCTGGTGTCGATACACTTGACTGCCCGCGTCTTCATGCCCAGGGATGTCTCCCCACACTGGACAGGGCCCTCGTCCACTGTCCGCTGGCATTTCTCCCAGTCCCCTGACAGCCAGGCAAAGAGGTGCCGGTGCTCCTCGCAGACTTTAAAACAGTTCCTGCGGCTCTCGGGCATGGTGACCTGGTCACACTTGGAAGGAGGCTGGGTGCCTAGTACTGGGTGGGTGCACCATACATGGCGAGTTTGGCTACCAGCAAACCCACACTGGTTGCCATTACACGGTCCCCATGGACCTGCAAATAATTGATGCAGAAAAAGTAACTTTAATTCAACTATTAAAGATGGATTTTGAATAAACCAATTACATGTACCAGCAGCGTGCATATATACTTACTGAAATGCAATAACAAAAAAACAAACAAAATAAAGCACCAAACCCCCTCTAAAAAGTTGTGGCTATGGAATTCAAATTTGAGAGCCAAAAACAGTACTGGAAGTAGCGCAAAAAGACTACTTTGAATCAGATGAACAACAACCATCCAAAACTTGGGATAGCTGTTTTACTTGATGTGATAACAGTCCAAAAACTCTCAGCAAACCCATTTATCATGTACATGTACATTCATGCAAAGAAAGTGTATGAAGCTACATTTATGAAGAACCTGGCTCCTGTACTCTTTGTTTGAAGAGCAAGCACGACATTAAGAATATAAAGTTCCACAAGCAGTATTTAAAACAATAAGAAGGGGGTCAGAGCCACCCTGGTTCCACTAATGCCTTTTCAATCTAACTGTGTTTGAACACAGTGTGAACAGAAAATGTTTCTTAACCAAACATTTGTAGGCTTTCATCTTCTGAAAATTAGATAGACAATATTTGTGTATTGAACTCTGAAATTTGAGGACTTTTTTAAAAGTTTAACTGAGTTTGGGCTAAATTGCTAAAAACTAAAAGAAATGGCATTTTAAACACTCTGCCAGCCCAAACTGCATCTCAACAAAGTGAAGAATACTTCTCAAACATACTTGTGAAACAAATCTAGTTTTACATGCATATGCGGTGTTGATAAGTACTCCACTTGCAAGTTTGATAGCCTGGTCTATGACACTTTCGGTTGTTAATGGTCATAAAAAGAAAAAAATCCTGATAAATGCAAGTTACTGAATAATGGGAATCAATAAATTCCCTGATTTATACTGTGCAAACACATTCTCAGAGCAACGGCAGAAGGGCTCTTAGCGGGTAAAACCTACAAGTACTTGAGATGTACTGGGGGAAAAGACAGTCATTTGGCGACAACCCACCATGTAAGGGCCTGAGAAAGATTTGTATAGCAGTAGTTTGTTTCCCTGTGCCACTGGCAATGTCTGCACATGCTCCACACTTACACAAGCTTGCCCTTTTTGCAAAAAGGCTGGGTGAAATCTAGGGTTGAGCTGCAAAGCTTCCCCTCCAGCATGCAGCTATCTTTCTCATGTTCCCCGCCACTTCTACAAACACGCTCAACGAATTACTGTGACAGGTTCGAGAGGGCTTCGGATAATTCCCCCCCCCCCAGTCCAGATGGGGTGGGGAGGGGGATTATAGCTGGGGCCATTATGGCCAAATCAAAATACCATATCTGCCCAAGTGGTGGACTGGAATTTTAAAAAATGGACTCTGCATCATATTCCCCCCCATCATCATAATCAGTTTAGTTTACCCTTTGCACTAAAAATCAAACTGTTCTTACTTGAATCTGTTATTTTCCACATATAGTTATTGGTACAGGAGCCGAACCATTTTGTACAGTCAGACTTGAGATCTGAGGAGCATTTGTACTCCCAGTATCAAATTAAGAGTTTTTGCATGGAGGGTTGTGTTCTTTGTATTAGGCTCCCCCCTCCCCCATAAGAGGCTTCCAACAGAATCCTCCCACTCATTCAAAAATGGCTCAGTTTTTGCTTACGAAATGAAAATGTAGAGGAAATTTACAGAGAGGCTTATTCTAGAGGAAAAAATTAAGAAGAGAAACAAAATAAAATCACGTTTGGAAAAAAATGTTCTTATCCCTTCACAATTGTTGGCCTAATATAACCTTAAAGTATTCAGAATCAAAATGAACCCTCCTTCAACAATCACTTTTGATTTGAACATGTCACTGCAGAAAGAAAGAAAGGAAAAAACTACTGTTTTTAGCACTAGCCCAGAGATATTGTTCTCAACATTTCTCACGGTGCTTGTACGAAAATGGACACTCCAAAAGAAAGATTGTGCAATATCTTGACGCTTGGAGAACAGTACACAATTCAAAAGGCTCTTTACAATAATGACAGCAGCCCCGCGGGTACTGGCCTGTCACTCTAATAGGAGGGGGGGTGTCTGTGCACACTATGAGATTGCAGCCAGGTTACTGTTTTTATCATTTCAGATGCAGTGGGCCCTTATGGACTGCAATGGCTTAATATCTGATATACTAAGAGGCCTAGCCATTACAAACCACCGTCATAGAAAAAAAGGGGGATAACATTTAATGTGTCTCTCCATAGCTTTCAGAGTTTGGCAGGTGTAAGTGCCTCTTACTGCTAAGTTTTCTGAAATCTGGCCTGGACAAGGAACCTGTGACATTTCAGCCAGGGCAAGGTCAAATATTTGGATAATCCTATCCTTACCACTTCTACACATACTTTTGTGACAAATTTGGATAATACTCTATCACTTTCTGAATTTACATGACATTGTGTTATTGTGGAAATTTGATGCTAAGTTGCAGAGTTTTACAGGGCTTACAGGTCAATTGTTGGAATCTGGTCACTGCAGAAAGTTGGTTGGTGGTGTTTATAGACTTTATCAGACTAGTCCCCATCTAGCATGTACATATTTTGGTCCCCCCCAAAGAAAAAACAAGTTAGGGTCCCCCCTCTAAAAAGTTGGTTTTGTATTTTCCCTTGCACAAAGTTGAAAATGGTGAGTGCTCTGCGGCTTGGATTTCTGAAATGTGACAGAACCTGACAAGATGGCAATGTTATGAGAAATCATTTGAAGCCAGCTGCAGCAGTGATAACATGCACAACATAGGGGCACACTTATGTGATACTGAAATCTACCTTGAAATTAACAGCACAGCACTGGGTGGTTTTTATGAGCGGCAGATCAGCTTGCGCAATTTGATCATCTTTAATACTGTTTCGTCTGGACAGGCTGTCAAGAAGACAGGCATCCCCAGCGTCCTCTGTCCTGGGTCCCCTCCCTGCAGTCTGAAGCGGGGTGTTGATTCCCTTTGAGAATAATCAGCAAGACCCTGGCCCTGTTTGCCACTGATTGAGGCCAGGGTACTCTCCCCCCCTTGCATTATCCATTTTGCACCCCCTCTGACAAACACCCAGGTGGGTGCACACCAATTACAGTCCTACACCTGATGATGTAGCCAATGAGGGATGTGCGGTGACAGTCTCATTAATCTTCAGCGATGCTGCCAGGCAAATCCCTTCGTTTCGGGCGTGTTGTGAGAAATCATGGAGCAAGACTGCGTAAAGGACCCCACAAGGAATGGATTGATATTAAATGTGATGCACCTAATTAATGCAAAAGCAGAAGAAAAATAAAACGAACATGAGAGTAACAGGGCCAAACAAAGTACAAACGATTCCACTCAAGGCTGCAGGGTCAACTCAAAGTTGTAGTTTGCATGACGAAAATCCCATGGCCAATATTTTTATCATTCTTCTGTGTGTGAGGACAAATGATGGAGGTAATCAGTGGAACAATGTCGTTTATTTTATGCAACTGGAAAAGTCTAAGAATTTGTGATTTGCACCAGGGTTTGTGCAGAGTGGACAAAATGCATCACTGTATAAAAGGTACCAAAACAAAACCACTGATTACTGCTGCAGAGCTTCAGGAATTAAGAGCCCCAAAACTACATATAGCTGTGTTTGCCAATAGGTATTTAGAAAGTTGATTTCCTCCTCAAAAGTGGTAATTTCCTCAGTCTCTGGATTCAGCATATCTCCGGCAAGCTTGCAGGAATTTAAGGAAAGAGAAACTTGAAAGACAGGACAAAGATCATGTACTCCTTTGCCCGGCATTTTTGTCTGTTTGGAATATCTGTCTGTCTGTCCCTTCTCCTTCCTCCATCATCTTCCCTCTGCAGGCATCCCCCTCTACCCCAAGATCCAATCCCAGTTCTCAGCAGCAGAAGCGACAGGGGGAAAGCAGGAAGGCCACCTTGATTACATTTGATTTCCCGTCTGTCGTTTAACCAGGTACAGTCTATTTCGGTTTGTCAGCTACCATGGGGGGGGTGTGGGAGGTGGAGAGAGAGGGACGTGCAAAGACACAAGCTGTCAGAGCGATTGTTCAGACGAGCATGCTTGACGCTATCTCGATGAAATTAATCTTGACAGGTTCAAGTAAGCACTGATATTGTGATTTGCAGAAGAGTTTAGAAGGGAGGACGAGGCTTAGGGAAGAAGTTAGCTGTGATGCGGCTGAGCATTTTGTGTGACAGAAAAATTTCAATTTGTACCCTGACAATACATTACAGGTAAATATTTTGGAGGCATGTCACTGATAACAGTGCATTCACACACATGCATCAACTGCACTAAACTAATTCCATTATTCCCACTGGATATGCTTGCTGTGTTCACAATTTCATTTGAAGTTTCAGATGGCTGACAGCTTCATCAAAACTCTCTTCAAAAAGTGCAGGCAACTGCAACACTGGTAGCTACAATCCTGGACAAATCTCGTTGGAACATGCCTCCCCTCGCCTCCTGTTAATGTTGTTTCTCATTGGGTAAGTTGGGCTTAATCTTAGTCCAATAAATGACCGCAACATTGAACAGGGGAGAGGTGAGATTTTTTCACCGCGCTTCCCACGAGGTGTTCCAACTATTTTGTCCAGGATTGTACATTGTAGGTATGGTGTGCATCCTTTGTATTGAGTACTGGGCTTTGGTTTGATTCTGATGGGCAGAGTCTTATGTAATGAGTACCTTGTGTGATGCTGGAAGACAAGTGTAGTAATTGGGCCTCTGGAAACTTACAAAGTCAAACTCTGTGTTCTTAGCTACAGACTGAGTGAGGTACAGGGCTGATGTACTGTATGTAAATGCCACTACTGTTCAGCTACTGTCAGGCATAATCACACATGGTTTACGATCTAAGAGTGCAAATTTGAACAGGCATGGGCACATGATGCACCGGCAAATAGTCTTTCTTAGCACCCCCTATCCTCCATTCCCAAGTTCCAGTTCCAATTCCATTCCACCAAAAAATGGGGCTGCCTTTTCATGAAAATGTATAGCTAGCAAGATGCATCCAAGTATGGAAGATGGCCTTGAGGGACCCTCACCCAACACAGAAATTTGTGGATTTTCATGACTGGAGAGTTGAGTTGTGCACAACATCTGAAGTGCAGTTTTTTTCCTCAGTCCTCTTCTTATCATTTCTCTCTTGGTGCGTATTCAATGATCAGATAATGAGAGCTTTCTCCTATAAGCAGTAAAAAACAGAGCAGGTGTGTGTCCAAGAAAAAGGGATTTCAATGGATCCCGACCCCTGATTTGCTAAAAACTGAAGTATTCCCCATACCCAACATGTGATTTACTAACAATTTTTGACACCATAAAAACTGATTTGATCCTAAAGGGGCAGAGGCACTACAAAGGTAGCAACCCTTCCCTGCTTTAAGAATTAATGAATGCATCCATGGCAGGGAAAATGTAGTACTTGTATCGGGTATCCAATGCTGGAACAGTATGGATCAGACCCAAAACTCCAAAGTTTAAAAGTAAGTGCACAGAATTACATGTAGAAAGACATGCTTCAAAGCATAATGGAAAGAAGATGAGGCCGAGTTTCTTCATAAATGAGCAGAATCCAATAACCTTATTGACATTATATATAACGAGTTTGCCCTTACCCAACATATATTAATAAGCACTGTATGCTCAGTGCTTGTCCGAGAGCTTGCGAAAAAAACCTCACAAGCTTACTTGGGTGGGACTCGAACCCAAAACCTCCTGCTTACTAGTGCAGATGTCTTAACCAATCGACCACCGAGCTTGCCGGGGTCAGCTGGCCGGTCTGAGTCAAATGAAGTAGCGGGTACCGCGAACTATTTTCAAGATGTAAATACGTTAGGTAAGGGCAAACCCGTTATATATAATTAACATCTCCCCAACGCAAAAAAATACATCTTGAAAACCTTATTGACAGCGACATGTTGGCATTTCTTATGTTCAAACCACAGCTTGGAAATATTCCCTCAAGTTTAATTTTGGAAGTCAGCTCACGATGAATTGACGCAAACCATGTGGTGGTTCCTTCCCCCCCATCCAATGTAGACTGACAGAATATTGACAGTGCGCTGTGGGAGTAACCATTACAGACCAGCGGGAAAGAGACTTATCCAGTCTGCTGGCTATTTGCACCCAGCAGGTAGCTGACATTCCTGGGGTTCCTGTTTTGCTGGTATATACATGTATGTGGCAGTGACTTTGACGCACAGAAATTGAGCTGGCCTGTGGGACTACATGTACAATCCCCACTTTAGAGTGAGTCACAAGCCGCCAGAACTACTGTTTTAATTGAAGACATTTTCAGAACTGTCAATGTACATGTACATGTAGGTCTATCAAAGTCAGTAATACAATGTATATAAAAGCAGAGGACTCAAATTTTTTTCATTCTATTGCACAGAAAAATAGGTGGAGAATAATTTTCTGAAGACCCACTTTGTGGGATCTGCCCCCTTTTTCCAATTTGTATGTCTGTGATACAATCATAGTTGGTTTTGTACATACAATTACAAAGAGGATTTGACTAGTAGACTTGTTTTGACTCAAGTCAGTGGCTCAACTCGAGTCTGACTTGAGCCACAACATTTGGAAACTTAACTTGAGTCCTGATGGGTAAATGACTTGACTTGAGTCACTGCAAGCAAATTACTTGACTCGAGTTACATTCACTCAACTCAAAACTCTGCTGGCTACTTTACGGAGGTGTGTGGCATGACTGGTTGTTGTGACAAACGTCACCCTGTTGCACCTCCTTGGAGAGTTTTTTATGACATTATGGAGAACTGTCAGTAGAACAGTACTGCTGTGTTATTTGGCAATGAACATTTTCCTATGGAAAAAGGTGACCTTCCAAGACTTCATTTCCCAAATATGAATTTTGAATGTGTCGCAAGGCAACAGAAAGGGAAATTTGTTTGAATTTGTGTTAAAATATGAAGAAGTGCTGGTGTTATCTGTTTGGATAGTTTGAGAACATTCAGAAAAATGGAAAAATCCACCTTGTTTGTTTTATCAAAGCTTTGACAGGGAGCCAGCAAACTTATTTTTAACAAATATGTGAGTCTTCTCAATTTTATGTGTGACTCCAGTCAATCATAATCCTGTTTCAGTGTTCAAGACTGTGAGCCACACTTGGTGATTTACACTTCAGTATGCACCAGTTCTAGGTTTTCCCTGCAGCCTTTCCACTAAAAAAAAAAATAATCTGGCGCCATGCCGCCACAGTGACGCGAACAGTAATAGATATGCTGCCAAGCTTGTGAATCTTCCAGTCAATCTCGATCTAAAAGCAAATTTTGGAGGGAGTTTGTGCGAATGTGAATGCATTTTGGGGGGGTGAGGGCCTGAGATGAATTTGTGTTGCAGACTAATTGTTTTTGTCAACAAGCATAATCCTGTCAAATTTCATTATTTCGGGGTGTTGAAAGCCGGCCACGCACTGCCAGTGCACTCGGCGGGGCAAATCGACCTGATGGATTCGGGCCGCATTTGCGTTGGACTAATTATTCAGTTGCCGGCACCACTGATGAGTGAATCGTGGCTTTCAGGCTCCTCCGCCAATCTATGACCCCCCTCCCCTCTTCCATTCCCTGCAGGCCCCCAGGAACATTACACACCCCTTGGCAAATGGCATCATTAGGGAAGAGGTTACACTAATGGGTACCAATCACCAATCCCTTCCACTGCATACAGCGGCTTATTAAAATCCGAACTGATTTAAGGCGGGGCGGGGGAAGGAGAAAGACAAACCTCTTCAGGCCTCACCCCCTTGTCCTCCTGCATCGGACTTTCATCCTAACGCAGAGTTTTCATGCTCCAATGGTCCCTCAGGATGCAAGAAACCGAAGCAGTAAATTGGGTAATATTAAGAATGCCTGCCGGGTTCTGATGAGGAGCAGATCTCTCTGTCTCCTCTGCCTAAAATCCCTCTTGTCTATCCGCGGCCAGGTGCAGTTACTAATTTTGGTTTCTTTACTTCTGCATCAGACTGGCCAGTAATGTTGTCTCTCATCTATTCTCCAGGGGGTAACCATTAGCGGGCCAACGCAGTACATTACATACACTGTACATGTACATCAGTATCCGGCAATGTTTTTAATCATATCCCTGATATAACAGAGGCAAAGTGTGTTGGGGAATGCAGGGCTTATGGCTTGGTTGAAATAAGACCTCCCATTTACATACCGGTAGCCTACATGTACCACACCCTCTCAAAGAAGACTGAATGGAAGTAATCTGCACTGATATTACTAAAGGAGCCCCCATTAATCCTAATCCCCTGTGAACAGTTAGATTGAGATTGGCACATTCCAGATTGACAATCTGGAATATTTACCCATGCCTACAGATGACTGATGGGCTTGGCCGCTTCACTGAGCAAGTTATGTGTCATACCCACAATGTCACGATACACTATGCCAGCAGCCCTGTCTACCTATTTCTGGATCTGCTTCTAAACACCCTCCTGATTTTGGATATTGAAGACATAATCATCACATTTTTAAATACATTCCCCTTATTAATCTGTAAAATAAACATCAACGGATGTGACATCAAAACAAGCATCTTAAAAAGCCTTTAAAATACACAAACTCTACTCACAATAGTTACAAATGAGGGATATTTGTGTCACTGGGGCAAAAGTCAATCCAAATGGGTCTATTTAATAACTAACCTGTACTCCATGAGTAGCTAAATGAACTTGCAGAATCCCCAAACATTCCTCCGATTGCCCCGGCTAGGGGTGAGAACACCACCTCCAGGCATACTGGCAGTAACAAACAGCATAAGATATCCATGCTGATGACAATGGAGCTGTGTCTGATATGAGTACCTTGTACTTTATCGCTAAAGTGAACTTCTCCTCAATGCTGACTAATGCACAAATCTGCAGGGGAAAAAAAGAGACAATTTTGAGTGATTGAGTTCTTTATCTGTGGAAATTGCCAAAGTGGTGAACACAGCTTGTCCAATTCTATTTGGGTCATACACCCATGTAATGCTGCCAAGATATCATTCTTCATGCATACATGCTCACTGATCAGGGGTAATAATAACTTGCATCAGTTCCTGAATCATAATAAGTTGATTGGCACTTCAGTACTAAAACCCAGGCATGATATATAACTGCCAATCTCAAAAAGACGGAATTTCTTTGTTACAGCAACCAAACCGTCAGGGGAATCCATTTTAGAATTGATGGGGGGTAAAAAGGCTGTCTACGAAACTGAGACTTTAGAATTTGTCAGGAGGTTCAACAGGCCACACTGATATTTGGAAACTTTCCTAAAACCTCTGCTTCACATTCTTGGCTTTACTGTTCAGTCCAAACACTTTGTGCAAGTACAGTCTTCAAGGAAATTTATCACTTGTTGAAGGAGAGGGAGAGAGGAGGCTCTTGCTCTGATGTCAACACTGTGTGCTGCTGATACTAGTCCAGGAAGGTGTTAGTGCGAGAGTGCACATCCAATGTAAATACTTGATGACTTTGCTCCATGTTTCATGAAGTGTTTGCGGATATGTGTTCATCCTACCAATTTTTTTAAATACAGGGCCGAAAATGTTTCTGTGTTTTGACACTGGTTAGGATAAAGATGCTTCTGTACAAACAGTGCAGTCTGTGTGGGCATAATGAAGACTTTGTTCTACACGTGAAGATTTACTTTCATTCATATGTCCACCAGTATGAACTTTCAAGGGGAAACAAGTTTTGGGATCTTCTCTTATCTGGTGTCTTTAGATCATCCTCCATCTTCTACGTAGCTTTATTCCTTCTAGCTTTTGTTCTGTCCTACAAGTCGACTTTATTCATGGAAAGAGTTGTAGGAACTAAACCTAGGTACAAGGCTTCTGACATACAGTGTAATGGATGAGCAAAAGCATATTGTGACAGAAGCTTGAAACAAGTATGTAAGAAAAAAAGAAGAATTCATACATTTGTTACAGATCTCAGATTCAGACGCAAGTTCAGCATACCATTTCTTCCCAAAGCACTCTAGTTTCATGCATTATCAAAAACTGGAACATTCGAGTCGCACTGTGATCAGCATTAAATCCCAAGATGCCATTTCCATCTTAATTTTCTTGGTGGACATGGAAGGGGGCTTGATGTCAAATCTTCCATTCTACTTCACTACTAGAAATGATGCAAATTGCTGTAACGCCGAAAGCCAACTTGTTTGGGCAAGATCACACAACTAGCTGTATGGTGAGACTCATCTAAATCAGTTGCTGAAAACGACCACGTACGTGTAGCACCCCCCATTGGCTTGTTCGCTTCTGGGGCAACTACAAGCTTGAGCAATCCAGTCAGGTAATTGCCAACACATAGATGGGCCAAGATGAACGAGCAGTCATTACTTGTGGCGGCACAAATACCAGGCAAATACCACCAATGATCACAAGTCCATTTGTACAGGCTGGCCGCGAATTAACTGCTTTTAGCAAAACAATAAATTACATGGGAAAACAAGGCAACGGGCTGCGTCTTGTCAGATCCAATTGCTGATGCCTGCGTCAGCACAAACACATCACCATGAAAAAACACAGGGCATCCAAGTTCAGTTGCAGCCCATGCACACGAATAAGATCTTGGCTGAGGAATTTATGGATGCTTCCCTGCAATGGTCTTGACAAATCTGCAGGTGTGTGTGGTTGTAAGCCCTACACATTTGGAAATGGAGGAAAACCGGGAGAAGAGAGTGCCAACCTGGGAATTGCAGTGATCATAAAGGGATCTGATCAGCGTTGCGAGTGAAATGACTCAAGGGATCCCAAGTGCACTTTGCAGGGAGACAGTGCTGTGCTAAAGTACTGTTTGTGTTGAATCATCCTGCAAGAGACAAAACAGTGGATGGATTTGAGTAAACTAGTGTCTCTGGCAGGAACTTTGGGCTTCTAAGAGATTTGGTTATTTCAGATGGCGGACAAGACTCACAATCCAACTTGTGCGGGGATTTCTTGAAGAGGTTTGAAGCATTCTTCAGTTGTTTGGGGCTTCAACTTGTTGGTTCACCCACTGCTGAAGTAGTACGAAAGACTAAAGCTAGTGGTGTGTCACTCAGGCTTTTACTTGTGGTTGAAAAGAGAACCCCCCTAGCTGCTACAGTGTATTTGAGACAGTTGAAATTGTAGTGATCACGGCATGCTGTCAGGAGAGAGCAAACGGAGATGTAGCCAGAGCTTCTAGCCTTTACTCAAAGTGATTGCAATGGCGTTTGACAAGAGACTAAGGTGGCATGCTATTTCACTGCCTGCCACCAAGAACACCTTTCCTTTACCAACTTGTTTCTTGAGGCATTGTGCTGAATAATTCAGTGGGGGGGAGCAAATTTATACGTATATGCAAAGTCAGTTGACCAAACACTCAGAAACAGCAGGCTGCCATCTGCATGAATGCTAATAATCTGTGCAGATGTCAAAGGTGCCAGATCACCTTCCTGCACTGAGTACTTCCACAATCTTATCTGTCATTTGAAACAAGATACCATCTCAGGTGTGTTTGTGAATAGTGACACTGCTACCAAAATTGACAGCATAAAGAAGGAGAAACATACATGTAACCCCTGAAAAATGAGTTGCTAAAGGTTGTTGGTGCAGCCAGCAGTGAAGTGAATTACACACTAGTCTTTCCTCAAGTGCTACGCAAGTACGCATGTCACACAGACTAACATTCATTGACCATCGTGATTGCATTGACCAACAGGCTGACAGTCTCCCTAATGTCTGGAGAGATCAACATATCGAAAGTCCACTTTTTTATGGGCACTGAGCTGGGCTACACCCTCTAGTAATAAAATAAAAAAAGAAGAAAAAAGACCAAGTTCTGCTAATATGAACTTGCATGGACGTCTCTCCTGAGAACACAGGCAGAAAGTACAAGTTACTCTAGCAGTATACGTATTGTCTTTTACACAAATACAATATGAAATGCCTGACTTTGAGCAAATGGCATTAAAGAAATCGGTGTTTCTACTTGGGCCTCAGGGTGCCAGCAACAGTCCTTGAACATTACTTGAGGATACTAGAATAACCCTGCCTCCCCCTTCCTCACTTTACAACCTAAAGTGTGCTTAATCCTGGATTCTGGTAGCTTGTGGGAAGAGGGAATGGCTACAGCCTCCCACCTACTATACTGGGTACAAGATGTCACCCTCCAGCTTACATAAAGGAATCATGTATTAAAAAAACGAAATTTGAAATGAAATGCTGAAAATGCTTCTTTAATTGTGTTAACCTTCAGACCTTTCTTGTCATTTCAAAGAGTGCCCAGGGCCTTTTTTGGGTTTTACTCATTTGCTGATGCAAATTTCAATAATCGAAAGTGACAATGTTGTCAGCTGTCACAGCTACTTTTTTGCATCATGAGTTACCCAAATGTTGCTCTCTGTTGATTCAACATGATTGTAGCAACAACAAGAACAAGTTGACGAGCAAACACTGTGCATGCTTTCGGTTACACTTTGTGGACATCATTTTGTGCCCGAAGTGGTGCCATCTACATGTCAGGAAATTCAAAACAGCAATGGTGAAAACTAAACAAGAGCATTTTCATGGATGTGAAAAACCTTCCTCAATAATGGCACAGAAATAAGTTTTAGCGCAAACATTTCATGGAACCTGTATAAGATCAAGCACAAAGGAAATCACACAGTGGTTTAACTATGGGTAAGCCATGAGGGGGGTCACATTCCCTCAGCAGAACTCCAGGCCCCCTGGTTCCCCCAATCAAAATTTTGAAATATATATATAGTCCACTTGTACATACAAGTCACGGTTTGTTTGTGTTCGGTGTCTCTCTAAAAATGTATGCACACTTGGGTACCCCCCTCAAAATTTTCACCCATTACACCAATGAAAACACAGAGAAAAGGTTTTCGTCAAGCTACAAAATATGCAGATTCCTGGAAGGAATATATGCGTGTACAGTAATACACTCATATGCATGAGGGGGTCATCATCCTGCTGAAGACACAACAAGCAAATTGTCACTGTCAGGAACGGTCTCAAATAGTACAAGAGGAAAATCTGGAACATGTAGGCTAATACATTAAACCTGTCAGCGTGACAACAAGTAGTTTGGAATGAGAAGTGAAAGCCACATTTTTCATATATATCCCCGGCGGATCCAGTTCTTTTTAAAGAACACATCTGTGGAAATTGGAAAAAATGATCCATTGATTTGGGCTGGCCTAATGACCCAAATCAATAATTGAGTTTGCGTGCGCACGTGCGCACGACAGGCGAGACTCGCGAGTTCTAACCAAATTTGCCATCTCAAATGAAAGCTTCAGATACAATCATGGCTTGAAGACATCCCGCAGGAAAAGAAAACAGAATACTTTGGAGAGGCACTGGCAACTGGACAGAGTGGATGGTACCGGTAGTTGCAGATTTGCCTCCAGTAACTGCACATTTTTGTACAGAAAAATCAAAGCCATCCAGTTGATGATGAAACAAACCAATCAACATCCGTGTGAATATCTCATTAAGTCATTCACAGAAAGCTTCCAAACAAATTCGTTTGTAGGTATCATCAGTATGTGATGTATAGATGCCCAGGTGGACTTCAGCTCTTGTGGGTTGGCCAAGCAATCCTACATGTAGCCTTTAAGTACACAGATCAACTCCACTTCCAACTCAACACTCTGTTCCAGAACACATGTACAAAAATGCCCTAAGCCATCAGCAGCCTCTCACAACTGGCAAGCTCTGGCCACCTAGCACAAGTCAAGATCCTGCACTGCACATGCACATACCTTGGTGACGGAACACCAGTAGACACAATTAAGGGCGGCTTTGTTTCTCCCCAAACAGGTTAAACCAGAGTTCACTGACAGATGAAGAGATGAGATTTTCTAACGATGCTGCAGCAGAGTTGGTGAGGGACAGTTTCCAAGATGACTAAGTCCCACCAGTCTTCAGGAGGAGATACTTTTTTGATGGAAATCTTGGGTGAGTGTCAACAACCTTCAGCACCAAGGCACACCTGATGAAGCATGATGTAATAGTACTAATTCAGAAAGAGCCAAGAGGACCAGTGAGCTAGCTTTTTCCCTGGAATGGTAACGGGGTGTACTCCTAATCAGGCAGCTAATGAATCATTGTTGGTATGCACAAGAACCTCATTAGGAAATGCAGTCAAGCAAAAATTTGAAGAGTTATTAATAGACTAATTGTTGAAAACTTCCTGTTCATGTAATTCATCCTGATGACTCACACAGGCTGCATGGAATATAATCAAGTAACAGAAGAGATTATGCATTCTGGCATAAAGAGCAAATTTGGGGCTAGAACACAACAGAGCAGAGCATGATGCAACAAGAAAAGGAAAGGGCAGAGCAATGTTACCACAGAGGAAGGAAAAGACAGAGTAGCGCCACTGGAGCACATCAAAGAGCAGACAGAGAACAGCTGTGTACAAAGTAGAACACAACAGAAAAGAGAAGCCCAGAGTAGCGTGGCTACAGAGCACAGCAGAGCAGAGTAGGATAGAACAGAAAAGGGAAGGGCAGAGCAATGTAATACATGGCACATTGCCTGGAGCAAAGCAGAGCAACACAGCATAAGAAGAGAGCAGATCCAGAGCATTACATGATGGTCAGACACTGGTCATTTCTGACTACTGTTGGTTTTTGTCTGACCAAAAGCAGACCTGCTCAGACAGAATGTTTATTAAGAAAATGCAAAGAAAAGTGTTTAAAAAAGGAGTCTATCATTCCATTAGGAATGGTGCAGCACAGCACTGCCAAGCACGCAGAGCATCGCAAAGTAGTGCAGAGTAGAGCAGGGTAGACTAAAGGCAAAAATGCAGGACAGCTGAACACAAGGCAGAGCACAGCTAAACATTAAGTGGAGTAACAGAACAGAGCAGAGCAACGTCAATCAAAGCAGAGCACATCAATGTGGGAACAAATGCAATATTATCATACCATAATGTACGCATCAGTTGAAGTCAGCAATTATGTATAGTATCAGAAAAGGAAATATAAAAATACTCACCTCTGAAATTTCCAGAATTTATTCCAGTGAGTTATAATTCCAATCGGCCTATGCCTCTTTCCTCCTGCAGTTTTCACGGATGTGTTTCCCCACGAATAAAAAACACACCCAAACATGTACATGCAATCCCTGTGTTGAGCAAAAGTCTTTCTCAGCACATTAAAAATCCAAGTAAAGAAGAACTTTGCTGATGGACGTCAGTGAATTGCACACAACCACTTCCCCCACTCCAAAAGAAACATCCAAACTCCAAGTTCCCCGACAGCACCCAGCCAATCCTATCTGGGGCTCAACTCCTTCACATCAGACTGAGCCCAACTTGATTTGCATGTCACATACACACACGCTCGCACAGCTCACACTGAAACCACCGATGTAGAAAGGCCGGCGTTCCTCAAAGCGGGGCAGGAAATATTAATGAAGCGGGCGTGAGAGACGAAAGGCGACTGAAGGCACTCTGAGTGGAATACCGGATTTGGGGAATGAATGAACCACATTTTTTTTATGAGGGATTTATTCATTCATGATAGATTTCCTGTGAGTACACAGTAGATTGTGAGAGGATGCTCCGAATGTTAGGCCAAAATGCCGTAGAGCTAATGCGCTCAGTTGATGACTTGAGGGGGGGTTAGAGATATACTCTGACTCTGATGAGGTCTTCTGTGATGCACTGAGCTTTGGCTCGAGAGTCTGTGGTGTGTGACTGGCTGCACTGGCCGGCTCTGTTGATTGGCCCACACTAGTTAATCACTGCCTGAGCCCATGCAGCACATGCACACACCACACACACACATTACATGCACTCCTCAGCACACACTACTCCTCACCACATACCACTCCTGTACAGTATGGTCCTTGATATCAACAGGGTAAAAATCACTGACAGTGTAATTCACACTCCAGCTGGGCCAAGCAGGGGCCAGTGTTATTTCACAGAGGGATGAGTTGTGGAAAAAATCACTGTTCTGTTGGAGAAAATTTCCTTGACACACAGTGCTAAATCACCCATGTCCTTTCTTGTTTCTTTTACTGCAGTAAAATGGTGCTGTCAAATCTCTATGTCACCTGTGCACAATTTGTCTATTTTTGCTGGCACAGTAATTTACACTTCCTCTAGAGGGCAGATGACAATATGATCATCAACAAATGCACAGCATCAGTTGTCCATGATGTCTCACAAGGGTTATCTAGGCACAGCCTGCCTGTTTCTTGTCAAGGAGATGTCATCTATTATCACTGACAGAGTAAGATGTGCTGATCTTTTTATAGGCCTGAATGTGCAGAATAGGAGGCAGTGTGTGGTCACTGCTAGTGCCATACTATCAGTGCCAATTGGCAATCGATATCTAGGAATGCCCTGTGTGTTGTCACCCAAAGGACTGGGTGGAGTTAACAACCTCACGTGTCAAAATCCTTTGTATCAGCATCAAATGCCACAGTGTGGGTAGTATGGGGGTGGTCATCTCCCAGGCAAAATATTCACTGATCATGTGACCCAGAGCAAAGAGTTCATGGTAGGTGCTGAGTAATACCAAGTAGGTGAGGCCACACCAGATGTAAAAACATACATTCTCAGTACTACATGAATCCAGGCATTGTGGCAGTCATTTGATCCAATTATCACCTCAGAATTTAGGTCTCAGTTGTACCCTGATTGTCACCTGATCCAAGGTAAATGGGAACCAGCCTACTAACCTCTCTGAGCTGTCAGTCAGCACATGGGTACCCACTATCATCCAAAACCATTGTTTAATGAGTCTTGATGCCAACTGCTGTTCATACTTTCAATGCATGGTAAAGCTACAAAGGGGGGAGCAGCCTGCCTTGTCACTCACGTCATTGATGCCTCTCATCTCTGAGCATGGAAACCTCACTGCAGGCAAGGAGATGAGGTGAGGACCACATGTAAAACCAGTTGCCCTAACAGCAGATTTGAATAATGTGAACTTTGACAGCCTTTTTCCCTCTCCTTTTCCTATGAGATGCTGCCTTCAAGGAAGAAACAGATCAAATGCTCCTACTTCACCTAAGGAGGCAGGCGGTAGACACAAAAACAACGGGCCGGGTCAAGAAAAAAAAGCCCCACCGGCTATAATCCGTCGGTGTTTAATCAAGAAAAGTCTGACCAAGTCAACAGCTACTTGAGGATTTGGATTACAGGTGAAAACAGCAGACAATCCTCATCTTCAACAACAAATTTCCCTGCAGTTTCATTTGAAAAAGGATATGTTCACCACGAGGTATAAAAACAGAAACAACGACCTCAATATTTTGGGGGCTTTCTTTTCAATGGTTGGAGATTTTAGAGTGAGAAAATGTCACAGTCGAAGACAGCTTTACCCTGTGGATGATACAGCTTTGGGTAGGCCACAAAACTGCTAAGAAGTCGGCAATCACGTAGCTGGCATGTGCCTGTAAATGGGAGTTGTAGCATGTAGGTCACGGTAGAAATCAATGTAGAAACGAGGATGCGTGAAGAACAGTGCTAATTGATTTCAAGAATGAACAGCTTCACTGCTGTTTTAGGGTTATCACTGTGAAAAAGGTAGAGCCTTGAGAGGAAGTGTACGTTGGGCAGCAAATAAGACAAGGATGGCAGGCATAACCTTGGCCGAGCTATCCCTGCAAAACAGCAGGAGATGTATTCGCAATGTTCTAGATATTTCGCTTTATCGATTTGGGACTCTCTGCGAAATACCAATGTGTCTGGGTCACCAGGCTGACGCTGTGTACTGTCAGTGAAGAGGTAATACGATGGAAATAGCTCCCCCTGTATTGATTTCCAAGAACTCTTTGCCCCTGGTGTGGCAGATGCAGGGGAAGGGGAAAGGAAGCAAGAATGGACTTCTGGTGAGGAACGTGCCAATATGTACTCTACAAGCTGGCCGAAAATGGTAAACAAATTGGACTGACCGCACAGCTACCTCATGACGACTACAGACTGAACCCTCTGTAGCTGTGTCTGTGACCTGTGGCAAGTGTTGTTTCCAGTGTTCATGGGGGAGGGGTGTTCCGCAGTAAAAATTACAGTCTAATTGAGACTGACCCACCATCCAGTTTTACTCCCTGATTGTCGTACAGGTGAGTAATGCACCTGCCTCACCTGTGGGCTTGGGGATTGTTCTAAATAAAGCTGCCCATGTAAGTAGTGCTGCAATCTATAATGGAGGCTCGTTCATTGTGAGTACATCTGGCCCTAGGCAGGAGGACCCTGTGAAATCTAATTTTTCTTTGCCAGCAGACCCCATTCAATTGAGGACTTAATGGTTAATCGGATGACCTTGTCTCACATGCAATAGTGCAACAGGGAGCCGGTGGCCATATGAGCCTCCACCACGGGGTGATGGATGGGGAACTGCAGAGATCCTGGGGATGGGGCAAAAAGCGTGGCCCCTTACAAGCATTGGTTAAATGAGTTTGGCCAAGACATCTGCTGTGCATCATGGATACTGCCACATGTATGCAAGTTCAGGAGTCAGGTTGCAATGTACAGTTTCATGATTTTAGACACAGTAACATCGAAACTGATCCCTCCTAAACAAAATGATTCAACTTTTGCAGAGATCTAATTGATCTCTAACCATTGAGGAGGAAATTTGATTGCATGTAACTTTGTAAGCATGTGTATGCACAATGTCCATTGCATTTCAAATAAAAACAAAACAGAAACAAATACAAAAAGGCTCCATTGTGTGGTCCTACAATCAAAACTTTACAACCCTGAACTCAGGTGTTGTCTTCCTAGTGCCCGTCTTACAATTTTGAAATATTTCCAGTATCTTTTCCACTCCACGCTCCGATACTTTCGAAGACCTCACTTTGTAGGCACTGAATTAGTTGATGCAGTGGGCCAGTTGTATGGCATTTAATTGGTGAAATAATTATGAGGAAGTCAGCCATGGGTGAGGACAGGTCAGGAAGACAGATGACTGCTCCAACTGAACAGTCCATCACATCTATCTCCTTTATCTTTGCCTTTTAATGAGCAGTAGGCTCTGACACCAAGACAAAGTTCCGGTCCTAAGAAACGACCATGTGGGCCTGCAGTGAATATGACTGTTGTGCCCTCAGTGTGACTGAAGAATGATGTGGAAACTGATGATGGTACCTTGTAACCTGCTCCTGCGATTTCAATACTGATAACATATGGGAACCAGGGTCCAATGAGTTGCAAAGCAGACATTCTATTTGATTTTGCTTACTAAAGCAAAAAGAAAAAAAATCCCAACCTCTAGCAAATAACACATACACACCACAGCATTTGAGCTGGTACACTATCATAAGATTTGCATGCACTGTCCTTAGTCATCACACATACAAACAACACAAATTGTATGTAAAAGATTTTCATTTGGATGTGCACAAAACTGCAGCGTGGCGGTACAGCATACTCTTTACTGATGTACATGCACAAAGCCCATGGTCCAATCTCACATGCTTCTACCTCTGTGTACTGCTGCCATCTAACACAGACATGTGAATTATAACATGTAACGTCCCAGCAGTGCCACGATGAGCAGTTGTGGTGTCATAATGTTGCAAGATGCAAAGCAACAAAACTTTCAAATGCAGCAGCAATGGTGGTGACTGGCAGTACTACAGTGTACCTGCATGAGCAAGATGAACTTCCTTCTGTATGAGGTGTTCATTTTGTAGCACTCTTCATATTAAAGCTTCCAGCATTAGTTCTTTTACTTTATGCATGAGTGGGACCAGACTAATGCTGAACAATTTGGTTAACTGCGTTTACGTCTTGTTAATAATTTTAATTTCTAATGGAACGACAGACTCCTGTTGCTAGTTGTGTTCTCCCTGGCTACCTCATATCCAGCAAAACCCGCCCGTGTCCATTCCACTGACTCATCGCTGTTTGTATAATCCACTGCCAGAGTCACGTCAAAAAAGACAGTGCAGAGGCAATAACAAACATCAACCCCCCCCTCTGATAACAAACAGAAACAAATCTGTATGCTTTATCTCAGGGCCTAACTGCATCATGCTGGTGCCCCGGCTCCTGGCCATCATCCCCGAGTCTGCCTGCCACACACACACAAACACACACACAGGTGGATCATATTCCATCCAATATGGGGGGGGGGCCTCCCCAGTCCAGTTATGCCAACACCACCACTGCGAAGTCAGCCTGGATGTGAACACACTCACTCTCCTCTTGCATGTTTGCAGTGGAACTAAATCTTGTAGAGCAAGCACCAGACCCAGTTGACAGTGTGCAGTATTTCTGTTTGTTCACAGCCGTATTGTTATGCTGCAGAACACCTTTTTTTTCATAAGAGCAGGGGGGAGTCGATTCAGATGAATGAAACTGTAGGCAGCGTGGCAAGGAGTTGGCAAAGAGCCAGCACGTTTTGCTTGGTAATTGTGTTTGGTGATATGGTGGTGTACATGTCTAATGCTGTCTGCGTACAAGAACTTGAAACCCAAGGTGTACGCAATTCAACTGATCAATCTTTGAATTTCAATATTCACAAAAAAGATAACATGTGGCTCATAAGGCAACTTCTTCCTCTTCTTCCACTCAAGACCGTCTTTTTGACAATCAAATACTTAAACCTCTTCTCTGTGTATGTATCAAGTTTGTAACACTGCTATCAGGAAATAATGATCATTAAAGAAAGTTCTTATCATACAAAAATGTGATAGGGCCTTTGATGAATATTAAAGGGTCATTTGAGTTTTGAACATTTTGGTTTTCTTTAAGTTCTGAAAGATTAAAAATGGAACTGTCCCTTTATATTTTCATCACTCTAAAGCAGCATGGTCAAAACATGTGGAGTTAATGTCACAAACCAGGGTTGCATTCCTGACAGTGCTACTTGAAACTCCAGTGCACCATGTGTGACATGGACTGCACTGATGGTTGTGATAGAGAGAATGCAAGCCCGGCCATCTCTAGCATAGATGGGATCCTTTGACGTACATGTACATTGTAATTTTTTCTGTACGTGACACTCTGACAAATGAAAAGCTACAAAGGGTGTGGTGTGACAGGCCTGTTACTACTCGGGCAAGTTAATAAGTAAGACTGGATTTTAAACTAAACCCAAAAGCATGTGTAAAAAGATCATATAAACAGTTGCAGTTGCAGAATGAAACTATCCCTACCAGCAAACTGTTTATTTTAATTTGATTCCTTAGTAGAGTCTTCAACCCCTCATATTTGAAAAATCAAAGAATGGAAAAGAAAAAGAGAATTATTATGTACCTGAAATACTGAATAAAATATAAGGTGCAATCTGTCTGTTGTTTGTCGTTCCAACAAACAAAACTCAGCTTCATTCCCTGGGATGACGGATGCATCCTCCTTATCTGGTTGTGAGGTTTTTATCTCTGGTAATTAATCATCTCAGGTAAAATACGATGAGTATCGGGAGCAGGGACTTGGGAGGTAGAATTGGGGGTAAAAGAACGTGTTGGAAATGCCGCTTTCTGCGTGTTTACCCGTGGGACGTGGAGACGTCAGGTATTTGGGCTGCACTTTCAACAGGGATCAAATTGAGCATGAAAACAAGTAAATTTGAGCCCCAATTCAGTTCAATGCCCTTTTTCTCTCCTCAAGTAATCAAGCCGAACAAAAAAACCAGAAATAAACTGTCTGCATATTCCTCCC